GGGAAGAGGAGGAGGAGAGAAACAACTATCTACAAATATAGCAGTAGCAATATAAATTTTAAACACCCGTTTCAGAGGGAAAATTCCAAAGAGAATACATACAATTTGAAGTTCAGAATCTCACCTGGCAGAAGAATACCAGAAGAGATGCACTCAAAGACACGCCTGAGAGAGTCTCCCGGCGCCATGTTGGCCCCGCCTGTGCTAACGCACTTCTCCACCAGTAATTCCATTGCCTGAGGACACAAGAACAAAATACAAACCATGAACTGCTACTGTATACCTCACATTAAAAAAACCCACATCCAAATACAACACTAGTCATTTCCCAAAAGGGATTCAGGGTGACCAAAACAAAGACTGCTATGAAACAAAATGCAGGAACTTGACAAGCAGTGTCCCCTGATGAGACAAGGCTCACTGGTCTGAACAAAAATAAAACTACAGAGAAAGTTACCTAAAAAATACTAACAACGTCAATTTCAAAACATCTCCTGTAGTCAGAAGGCAGTCTCCAGCACTAATCTTCCAAAAGTTATTTCAAGATGCAAATGCAATACATTGAAAACCCTCCCTCCAATATTTATGACATATAAGTATATGAAAACAACAGAACTGGAATGCTGCAGGCAAGGATTGAGCTTAAAATCCTTTTTTTTTCTTTGTGGGTGTGTGTGTGTGTGTGTATTTCACCCCAATTCTCAGCATGTTCACAGAAATGAATGACCACATATGACTTTCCTGCTTAATTGTGTCCAGTATCGCCAATATACTGATAGATATATTTTTTAAAATATATCAGCCGCAATTATCTTTTAAAAGTAACTCTCACAACAGATTCCCATTCTCTTTCAGTTATGACATTTTAAACTGTCTTCAATATTGGATTCTGTTCAGCAAGACTATTTCCAGTCACAAATGTTTGAAACTACCCAGACAGCCAAGCTATCTTCCTTTCATACTACCAGCTTACGCCAAATCCTCAGAATCTTCTGGCCCGACAAGATATCCAACGAAGACCTGTTACGTAAATGTAGGCAAGAGGACATGACAACCATAATAAAAAGGAGAAGGTGGAGACGGATTGGACATGTTCTGAGAAGAGAACCAGACTCTATTGTGAAGACTGCCCTCCACTGGACACCTGAAAGACGTCGCAAAATGGGCATACCCAAAGTGACCTGGAGACGCACAGTAGAATCTGAAATGAAGTCCTGGAATCATTCGTGGGGAACGCTGACCAAGATGGCCCAAAACAGACAAGAGCTGGAGATCCTTTGTTGCTGCCCTAAATGCCAGATGGCGTAATGGGTAGTAAGTAAGTAAGACGGAGGATGATAAAGAGTCACACTGCTGAAAGACACATTACTGGATCTAGTGATTCTACTGCTCATGGGTCATAAGACACGATTCTGTAAACACCTAAGTCAAACAGAACAAAGTGCTACAAGAAAAGTAACAAGTCCCAAACAACACGCAAACATGTGTCTCTAAGGTAAGAAGCATGAGAATTTCATGTCGAAGTCAAAGTGAAAATGAGGTGCCAAGGCTCTCTACCAAAACCAGAACTCAGTAAACAAAGGTAACAACTAGAAGTAATAAAAGTGATCTCTGGCCAAACTGTCAAGATAAAAAATTTCAAAACGTCATCCAAGATGCCTTTTAAAAAAAAATATTTGTTTCAAATCCAGAAATTGTGTTTTAGGTCTGAGAATTAATTTTTATTCAGGGGAATCAGCAAAAATGATGGAAAAAGCACACTTGTCCTGACAAATACTGACAGAATCCTTGCAGGTTGGACCAACAAGTGTCACCTTCCAAGCACATGTAAACCTAAAATGTAAAAACATTTACAAAACCACGACAAAAACATAAAAATATTTCAAGGAAAAGACCCCCCTCACTGACAGAACAGCAAACAACATGGCCTTACCCATTCATTGAGAGGAGCCCAAGTGGGGACACGCTGGCACAGGTCACGCAAGATCCTGATGATGATCACACAAGATGGCAGCCCGTTTGCTCTAGCCTACAGAGTAAAACAATGCATTCATCCATTACACCACTGCCCTCACCAATAACACAGCGGTGATATCATTCTATACCATAACCACTACATCATCAATTTCAATCAAAATAGAAAGAAAAGCCCCCAACAGCCATAAAGAAATGCAGACAGCGAAAAATGAAGTTTATTTGAAAAGCTTAAGGGGAAAAAATGAGTCAGAGAAGAAATGCTAAGTTCAAAGCACAGTAAGGCAAATCAATAATGAGTGTAGCAAAATCTTGAACTTCGAGAGAAGCTAAAAAGTTGTAGACGATCAGTGAGTTGTTGGGTGTGACACTTCTGCATGTACAGCAAGCAAAACTTTCCAGCCTCATGACCACTATAAGCTCTTGCCTCAGTGCTTACGAGCGTCTTCTTCACAAAGACAATTGTTAACTAGTGTCACAGATGGCTGGCTGCAACATTCTAGGGTGAAAACAGTACAAACACCACAAATACTTTTAAAAAGTCAAACCATTTCATTCAGTTCAATCTTTCCAGTTATCCAGTTATGTACACAACCACCTCTGACACAAAGCTAACAACGTCAAACGGAGTGGCCATGTCAGCCATACATACGGGATAAGGATTGCCATAGCTCATGGTGACATGTTTCCCTGACCCTAGCCTAAGAAACATTACAAAACATAATAAGCTGCTTGTTTACTGTGTCCACACTTCATAGGGCTATCCTCAGCCATTACTGACAACATCAGAAGCTCCGAAGCAAATATCCTGTGATGCATTGACCATGCAAACAATAATTTTAGCACTACTATGTAAGACCCTTCAGAACTTTCTGGACGGCAAGCAATAAAAGACTTTGACATACATACAGTAAGAGGGACAGAAACTTGTACACAAATAAAAAAAGATACTAAAAATCCATATTTCCAGAATTCTGCTTGTTGTGGGAATCAAATAGTAACCCATTCTTCTTTATTTCAAAGTTTCTGAGGAAACCAACTTGTCACCATGGCATTTGACACAATACAGACAACTTTCAACTTTAGATACTGTCAAGCACTGGGCAGAGAAACACAAATGCAAATATGCTGAAGACATTAAAACTCAATACATAAGGCTGCAAAGTATAAAGGAAAGTGCCAAACCTGGAACCACTTAGCATGACGCAGAGCAGCTAGAGCATCAAGACATTTCTGCCTGTCGAGGACATCCGGCGGGTCTTTGACGCTAACCGTCTCTATAGAAACGTGGAGCAGTTCAGTATCACACAGGCAGGAATGGGTGTTTGACCATGTAGACATCGACAAGGCACACCAGTCGTGTTTTCACAAAGACTGGATGCTTGGGGGCATAAGCACTAGGACACACCAATTACAGCTATTTCGTCGTTTAACTACTGTCAGTTGTGTCAGTGCCAAAAAAAATCTACAATCAAAATACAAAGAAACAATTCAGGTCTAAATTATGCCATCTTCTAAAGCTTCCGTCTTCCTAACCATTAATACATAGATACATTTAAATGTTTAAATAAAATTAAAAAGAAAGCATGCAATAGATTTATGAACAAGTCGACTTACTAGATGATGCGATGGAACAGAGGCCTCAAATCAAAGAGTTACTGCACATCTTTTACAACACAATTTGACTTTACAAAGCGAAAACAAAAAAACTGACTATACTGAATACAAAAGGTGTCCAGATTATGGTTCATGTCCCAAGTCAGCTACTACCAGTGTTTGTGCCCCCAATGCCAATGCTCATGGTCAAAAATCCTTCCGTGTTCCAAGCCTTCATTCACATCTGTGGGTACTATAAAAGGCTTTGCGCAGTATTCATGGCAGTGATAGAAAGAGAACATTGGACAAATTAATCATTGCATGCCTGATGGCAACCATAAATGACAGCAAGCCTTTTCTTACAATCAATCAAAGTCTTTACAAAGTTGTGGAAAGGTAGAATGATCATGTTTTATGCCCTCTAATAATTTATATCTATAATAAACAGTATGAAAATAAAATCATTAACTTTAAACATTGTCAATCTATGTGTTTATCTTATATATACGAACAATGCATTTTCCAATACATTAAGATTACAAATACTGAAAAAAGCAAACCCCCTGCTCCACACAGCAAACTGAGTGTGCTTGAAACACATCATCATCATCATCTGTCTACATGACCACTCTACAGTTTTGCTGCTGAATCAGGCAAACACTCCACAGAGACAGCTACAATGTGGCAAAACTGCCTCCACTTTCTCACCAAAAAAAAAAAGTGCAGAGATTATATCAATTCTATTGACAATTATCTTAAATAATCAGAGCCGTCTTTGCAACAACGCAGCATTTTACACTGATTCAGATATGAAGCAGCAATGACTTTCCTTTTTCCTTTGGAGCCCTCATCTCCCTTGCAAGAGAAGTCAGTCTTACCTCCATCAGGCAGATTGGCCTCCCGCATAATGGGAGAGGTCAGAGTGACCGTGCAACTTGTTGCTGGCTCCGTGTCACTGCTCACAATGATGGCAGCCTCCTCAACACATCGGCGAACTTCATACTGGTCACTTGTCACCGTCTAGTCAGAAATAAAAAGAGACAAAGTCAATGACATGATCATGCAACAAGACTATGGAAAGGAAAAAAGCTGTACAGTAAATTCTAAAATACCAGGGGAAAAATAAAAACATGCTGCTTGGAAATGCTAAAAATATGCGAGATCTTCATGAATTGCGTCATGACTGCCCCAGTTCAGCATAACCATTGGATTACCATCAAACAGCATCCCTTGTCAATCACATAATAAAACAGTCAGGCCCTCTCTAAAGCCCACCTGTCCGATTTCCCATTTCCTCCCTTCCCTTTTCATATAACAATGATACTGCCCAAGATGTTCACATGGCTGTCACTCTGATCCTTTCTATTGCTACAAATGTTCGTGCCCAAGCTGCTGCTGTACGCTTGAGATGAAAGCTGTCTAATGCAATCATACCTGACCATAACCAAAACTCACCGCCAGTTGTTTGGGCAAAGCATCAGCCACTCTCTCCAGCATGGTGCGAGTGGGCTTCTCCGAGCACAGCACTACCAGGTTCACATTGAGGTCCCCATGCAGCAAAAGTCCCTTGGCCAACACACCAACACGCATCACTCCCTTCAGCACACGACTAGACGTCCCTTCGTCTTTCTTCTCGCTGAAACCAAAAAATCAAGGGAGCATTTCAGATTTATACATTAAACCAACATGCGAACCACTTCATGACCGAAAAAAAAGTTTTACTCAGAATCATCACTAAAAATTGAAGTTTGAGGGGAAAAAATTGGGAGTCTCCAAAATTCCAGTAGTTTAAGAGAATATTACAAACTGGAAGTAGCAAGTAAATGTGTATAGTAAATGCATGCAAATAAAAATGTGTCATTAACGATAACTCATGCAAATATTGCAAATAAACCAGTGTATTTCCATGTAATTTACAAAAAGTTGAGTTCAACTAATTGAAATGGAATCAAGGAAAATAAAGCAAAAGATTTTATACTAATCGGATCAGAGTGAGGGTCCCAATTTTATCAGAGTACTTGGTAGGTCTGAATATTCTAATATTTAAGGAAAAAAATTGTGAGCATATGAAACTTTTAACATGAGAAGGCATCACCTGATACTCCCCAAAAATACATTCCACCATTTCAGATCGACATACGATTGAAAACTGACAAGAGGCCTGAAGATGAAAATGCTGGACTCAATACAGGCCAGAACAAAGAAAAATTACTTCGAACCTCTGAATTATATTAAAAAGAAAAAAGTTTTTAAAAATAGACGACCTGGTTGGATACGATTAACACTTTTACATTTTAAAAATAAAACTAGAAGGAAAATGTCCTGTCCAAAAACTGTTTCAAACTGTCTTGAGACAACATAACCTTACACTACAGGAGGAAAACTCTGCCAAGTACAGCAAAAAGGTATTTGCATAAGACTAGTTATGTTAAAGTACATGGTATAGCCAAACTTGAAAGGAAATCAAGTTTCATTTTGATATTCCTCAACAGCACTTTGAACACAGGCTCCGAATATACTGTCGCCATCTTTTGTTGTTCCATTGATAAAATATTTTTTTCTAAGAAGAAGCGAGACCTACCCATCCTTCTCGGATTCGGTATCAGCTATAGTGTCAGCTTTGGCAGGAGAATCTTTTGTTTCTGGCTTCTTGTCCTTGGTGTCACTACATGTGAAAAGTAGAGAATCAATTAAATGTTTACAATTTCAGCTAATTAAAACAATTTTTTTTAACTTACAAAAAATACCAACAACCAATTTACAGTCTTCATTTTCGTGTTAACTTATCAAGAATTATGGGTTAACCTCCCTTCCATGGGCATTAAAAATACGGTCACAGGCATGTTAGGATTAACATTAGCCACAAAAACCCCCCCACATCACTAGAGATATTCACCTAGCTGGAAAGCTTCATGGACAAGAGTAGAAACAAACAAAGAAAAAAAAAAAGAGATCAGTAGTTCAGTTTTAGTAAGAGTTTTACGGCACTAACACAATAAGGTCATATAAGTGCCGAAGATGAGAGGTGTTACAAGAGAGTAACAAACACAAAAAAGAAGGAGGGAAGATAAAGGCAATAGATGTTTGATAGGAAAGAAGAAGCCAACCACACTAGAGCACCTGCTAACAACCCACAGAGATCAGCAGTAAAGTTCAGCCCCAGACAAAGACAGTCAGGGAAAATGGCATGTCTAGACTGATAATCTTCATTATTTACCACCTTTTAGTCATTCATTATAATACTTCAACAACTGATGTAAAATATTTTAGAATATCTGACCATTAAAACTCTCTATCCCATAGCTGCCACTCAGGAATTTAAAAAAAGCAGGAAATTCACGCGAACGCATGTATTTGAACCCCCCCCCCCCCCCTAAAAAAACCCATAGGCACTAAGTTGACTAACAAGCATTTGAGTCAATTTGACACAGTTTGGACTTGGTGACTTAAAATCCAGTGTCTGTTGCCAGCTGGTGTCTCATAAAAAGATTTCTTTCACTTTAAACTTGTACATCGATGTAGAGCAGTATTGGATCAGGGAGGCAACACCTTTGCCGCTGTACTGAGCGATTTCAACACTCCTATACAATTGCGGTCCCGTTTGCACTTAGTGCCCCTGTAGTGTGTTTCTTATTTAGTGATCTAAACTGAATTAAAATTATAGCCTAGGCTATCTAATCTAGATATCTAGAATATGTGTAGACCTAGATTATATCTAGAGATAGATTATCTGGATCTAGATTCACTTCCACAGCCACAATAGCCGTCATGTAAACAAACGGGACCGCAATTGTACAGGAGTGCCGCGGGCCGTGATTTCTTTAGCGCACCAAACGCAGCAAAGTGCAGCAAGCGACTAGTTCAATTTTCTAATGAACTTTTCAAGTTGCACAGCGGCTGCTTCTTTCTTTCTCATTCCAGCTTCTTTTATTTTTGCATTCTGCATCAATTTCTCTCAAATTTCCGCCGTTTTCAATGACAACTCGGAGCGCCAACGTCCCGATGCCCGATCGAAACTATGTTGCTCCACAACAATAAACAATGTGAAACTAGCGCTAGGCCTAGAAGAACGGAAGTAGAAAGCTACGGGTAGACATGCGCAAGCCACGTTTCCGTCTCACCCGGTTCTGTGTTTTCCGCGTGTAAAAAAAAAATTATTGCAATTTGCGACCGAGAGCCGTCCAGCAGAGGAAGGAGGAAAGTAGCAGGAAAAGCTAGATGAAGCGGAGTTTCCGCTATTTAGCGGGAAAGTGGCAGCTATGCTATCCAAGCGGTACTTGGTTATACCGGAACCTTCCGAAAATAACCGAAACCTCCCAAAACCACGCAATAACCACCCAAAACCCCCTCAAAATGTCTATGATGTGATGTTATTTGCTATGCTATCTATCACTCTGTGGATAAAATATTCTGTTGGCTGGTTCTTGGTTCTTTTTATAAGAGAAAATGATGGTTTGTTGAATCTTCGTTAAACTTCATTCTTTATTTTGTTTTAAGTGATGAGCGACTGCTCCGGTTGCCTGTACTTCTTAGAATTTTAATTACTGTTATAATAGTATTTAAGCACAGATTTTTCACATAATGTAATGATGCGGCATTTAATTTCTGTTATCTTGTGCATGTTGTAAAGTATTCTTTTAAGGAGAAGTGACAATGAAGTGACCCCTAAAATGGTGAAATTATAACTTGGGTTATCACTTATTATATATTTCCTGGACAATAAATGTCCGGAAACGTATAGCGTTTCTAAACCCTAAAGTGGTGTTAGAAGGGATTTTAGAACAGAGGGTAGAGAATTTTAACTCACTTGCGACTGGACCCTTTCACCAGTCACAAGCGTTGAAGACTGGCGTTTTTGGGGGTATTTCAATAAATCACCACAACTCTCAGAATTACCCTATTGTAATTATTTTTTGACACAGTAAAGTAACATTCAAGCTTAATCTAATACTAAAGTTGTCTAAGTCTAATACTTTAATTTGTATGATTTTAAAAAAATTGGAATGAATTTGATTTTCCAAAAAATTTCCAGAGACGTGACAAGTAGAATGAAATTCACTACAACAACAAAAATAAAAGTTCAAAGTGTTCTGGTTTGATTTGTATACATGTGCGAGTGTTTGGTGAAAATATAAAAGCTGGTCTGTGCATTGATTCAGACCCATACACTGAATTACATGAGACAGATGTACGGCACGACGTTGTGATTTAGTTGCGCGAAAAACAACACCGGTACTAGTGCTAGATCTAGCCCTAGAACTACGATTCGGGCCGTGTTCGGGTACATATCCAGGATCCTAACTATTAGACACACCATATTCTGAGATACTATGACTAGTAAAACGTACAGAAGTATAGAAAACGGCGAAATTATGTGATTCTTGTTCATGCGACTTCTTTGACCGTTACTACGACGTGACTGTCGGATTACTATCAGCTGTATAGAAAAAAACAAAGCGCGAGTTCCGGTCTGCTCAACCCCAGTTGGGGTCACTGTCCTTCACCTTCAATAACTTAAAAACCACGGGTCCCAGAGATACGAAACGAAGTCTAATTAGCTCAGGCTTGGCCAAACAAGGGTACGAGGCGGGTCTCACGATCCGTGCGTGATTTGTAGAGCGAAAAAAAATTCCAAAGTTGGTCACGCAGGGCTTGTGAGACCCGTCGCGAGCGTCGCGGCGGGGGTCACGCAACTGTTGTGTGATCCGTCTGAAGTGAGTTAAAAAGAAAAAAATTACCACTTTTTTCTCAAAAGGCATGTTTTACACAGCTTATATGTTTCCGTTTTAGTAGGAAACATTCATTTTATATCTACTGTGTTAATATTATCAAGAAGTTGCCATGTTCAAGTTAAAAAATTTTTTTTAGTTTCTAATTGGAAGGAGAACTATTTAGGCCTTTTCTGACCTTTATCGGCCGTTTTCTTAAAATGCTCTTTTCACACACTTTATCCTATTTTCTTGCTGTATGTCATTCGATTTTAAAGTAACTTTCACAGAATATTAACGACACCTAGTTCTAGAAACTGTCGTGAGGAATTTTTGACTGCACATGTAGCTTTTGATAAATGGTGTCACAAAGTGATTTTCCCCCTTTTTTTTCAGTTATGCAATAAGCTGGTTTTTTAAGTGCCGTAGAATGAAAACTAAAGCATATACCGAAGATTCCCCAAGACAATTTTTCGATAATGTACTTTTTCTATGTACATGTAAATTATAAAAAGGGTTTAAAATAAAAACAAATAAGTCAAACCAAGTGAAATATTGTCTCATATAACGCTATTGTATTTTTTAAAAAAAATAATTTATTCAGGATCAAGAAGCATCCAAGTGGGTGGTTGGTGGGTGCTCTGGTGTGGTTTGCTCCTTCTTTCCTATCAAACATCTATCGTCCTTATCCCCCTCCTTCTTTTTTGTGTTTGGTGCTCTCTTGTAACACCTCAAATGTTCAGCACTTATTTGACCCTTGTCGTGTTGCAAGTGCAGTAAAACACTTACTAAAACAAAAGAAGTATCCAAATACGATAATATTGTATCACAGATCAATATATTATCCACAGAGCCATAGATAGCATAGCAAAATAACATATCATAGAAATTTTGAGGAGGTTTCGGGTCGTTTTTGCGCGGTTTCGGGAGGTTCTGGTATAAACAAGTACCCCTATCCAAGATGATAAATATTGGGAAAATCAATTTGTAAAAATCCAGCACAACAAAGCAGGTAAAAAAACAACAACTCACCTTTCTGCCAGGAAGTCAGAGACCAGTTTCAGAGACTTTTCACATGCTGAGACAATGTTCTGTACAGCTTGCAACTGGAAATTGAAACATCTACATTAAGGAACACATAAATACTGAAAATCCATTGGACACCTAACAAACCAGCCTAATATCTGAAGATTTGTGCCTTGACGTACAGTTGATGACAGTCTTGCTGTCCTTTTTAGAATGTATCTACCTGGTAGAAATTGAATTTTTTTTAAAAATAAAACACTCTATGCAATATATCCCCCCAGGATTAAAAAAAAAAGTTTTAGTAAGAGTATTATGGTCCTAGCAACACAATAAGGTTAGCTTCAACAGCACAAAGTCTGCTCCGACTATCCCGGAAATAGCGGGTCACAAGAGTGTGACAAACATACAAAAGAAGTAGAGGAAAACGACGACAGTTAGGACTAGGAAAGAAAAAGTAGCAGTTCCCTGTTGTAGTTGAGGCACAGTTATGAGCACGACATTGTCAGATCAGCCCATTTACAACTCTCCTGTGCACTAGAACGAGAAATGTCCCCCCTTTGGGAATGGCCTAATGACACTTCAGTCGGTGGCACCGGCCCGGGGGGTAGTGCTGAAGATTAGAGGTGTTACAAGAGAACAAACACAAAAAAGAAGGAGAGATAAGGATGATAGATGTTTGATATGAAAGAAGGAGCAAACCACACCAGAGCACCCGCCAACCACACACTCAGGAAATTAGTTTTACAATGGCATACATAAATACACAACGTATCAATACATATTTGCATGAATAATACATCACTGCGGGTCGCCACAGTGCTGCGCCTTCCCTGTTTTTGGGCTACGGTCATCATGTGTTGCTCAAGGACCAGTTACCACCCCCCCCCCACCCAAACACTGTGGCACAGACACATATTCCACTCGCATTTATCCGCGCAGCTTTGAACCAAAACTGAAGAGCTGACACTCACATTTTTAAAAGGTGCAATTTAAAAGTATTGCTGGAGTATATAGAAACGATACATGAAGATCAAAACCTACAATGTTATAAACTATTAAGCTCAAAAAAATGAAAACCCAGCTCTGTCATTCTTTTTTAAGAATGTTTTTTCCGTTTTAGTAAGTGTTTTACGGCACTTGCAACACAATAAGGTCATATAAGTGCCGAAGAACGATATGTTACAAGAGAGTAACATACACAAAAAAGGAGGAGAGATAAGGATGATAGATGTTTGACTGGAAAGAAGGAGCAAAGCACACCAGAGCACCCGCCAACCACCCACTTAGGAATATTGAATACTACCTCTGTTTACTTTTGAGGGTTGAAGAGTGCATGTTTTTTTCTAAAGTGATGCAAAAGTATGGCCACCAGAATTACATACTGATGTATAAAATTTCATGAGTTGAACACTGCATCCAAAAGGTAATGGCCTGTGTTTTAAAAACGCTCTAGACCCAAGTTGAAAGTCACGATGGGCACATAGGTAAAGAAAAGGACAGAAAAAGAATAGAAAAGAAACAAACAAACTATAAAAAAAAACCAAGTGTCCTCATCATGGTGCATGGCGAAGATCTGAATAGGCCACTAAAATGGTACACCAGAAGGTGGTGGGCAGGGAGTACGTAACTAAAGTACAAAGCACGTCTAACAACAAACATACCTCGTCCTCAGTAGGATAAATGCTATGGTGTTTTGTCATGACGTGGCGGTCATCAGAAGAATCAGGCCTTCGCATCTTTTGGTACCAAGGGCCATGAAGACAGCAGTAGCAGGGGTGGCAAAGAGAGCAGCGGTGGGTAAAGAAAGATTATCAATTTTAGGAGCGTATTCCCCTCATATTACTATAATTACGTACATGAAATCATTCTAAATTCTAACTTGTTATCAAGAATATGATCCACAAAATAGCAATTTCCATTACCGCCAAAAAAGGATAATCATTATTGCTGGGTGATCTGTACTCATATGTTCAGTATGGATTTCCAATATAATCTCAAAGAGCTTCTTGGAAATAAACAAAGGTAATGTTAAATGCTACTGTTGAGAAGTTGAATATTTCAAGTAGAAGTCAAATGTCAGAATGAAAATAGTAACAAACTAAATAATCATCAACAAAATATTTGCAAGTGCACAGTAAAGAGGCCCACTTACAAAAAGTACAGCTACATTTCTGACAGACATTTGCCCTTACACTCACCATGGGGTGCATAGGGAAAGGCGGCCTCATCATGGGGCCCATGGGGCCAAACCGTTGCCATTCCATGAACTCTGGGGGGATGGGTCCACCCATCATCTCTAGCCTGCGGTGACCCCAGTAGATCTCATCCTCTACTCTACACAAGAAAAAGATGAAAATATATATATATACCAGAGCATTGTTAACTGGTAGATTCAACTAAAAAAGCACCATATGACTGAGAAGATCTCGTAACAGCTTTATAACTGGCAGAAATCAATGCCTGCTGACCTTGCCTCAGAGAAAAGGCCATATAGAATTTAATGAGCAATAAAATACATTACTACTAAGGGACTATTTATAAACTTAAATGTATAACATCAAAAACAAAAAATAATTCAAAAGAATTTTTAAAAAACCAAAATAATCTAACCCCCCCCAAATAAAACATGCGAATTGCGGAATTTTCACAGTTGAAATTAAAAACGTTTTTAAGATTTCTACTCATTAGTTTCTAAACAGCGATTCAAACATTTCTAGACAAAAAAACTTGTGAAGAAAGACCTTTGTTGATGATGGGTTGCCTCAGTTTTGTTTCGTTTTAACATGATCCATTATTTATAAGTACTTTGTATTGTTTATTGAAAACTTGGAAAGGGTTTAGGAAACGAAAACATCTAGTTTCACTTTGTCAAAGCGTCGATCTGGAAAAAAACTGAGTGAATTAGTTCTTGCATCAACAACATTGGAACATTGCATTCAAATTTTTTTTTAATGCACATTCAGAAATGTATGGAGTCTAACTTGGCCTGTATATGATAAGATAGCTATGCTGATTCGCTTTCACATGCTTAGTGTGTTTAATTTTTTCCGTCAAAATGTATTTTTCTCACCACCATAGCCATTTCTAACCCTTGTAATGCATACTTATGTTCAAAATTAATTCTTGTTTCATGTTGGAATGTATTCCTTATTCAATTTCTTTCAATTTGATATATCATATGTTACGTTTAGAGTGATGGTTATGCTCATATGAAGTTATTTTTTACATCACCTGTGTAGCCGAATTGAGTCACAAGTTAATTACATCTAGACCCCAAAACAATTACGTCCAGAAAGTTAATTCCTAACACATCCAAAGCAAAAATGCACAAGCACTTCAAATCACTAGATATCACAACACGTGTATTTATCTTAATACAGCACTTAACTCACAAGCAGTTCTGTTGATCTTAAAATCAGATCTTGCAGACTCCCAAAAAATTGATTCAAAAAAAGTTTAAAGAGCATAAACTATGTACCTCATTTCCTCTCGCAAACGCTCTTGCTGTTCCTTTCGCCTCCAGTACTCTTCCTTTTGTGCCTGACGACGCATTTTATCCTCCTGCAATTTGCGGACTCGAATGCTTGGCTTGACCTCAACTTGCAAATTTGGGTCAACCTTTTTCTGAAAAACACAATAGAAATATATCTCTCACCACATCAGGTAGTTTTTAAAAGCTATCTTAAGTGAAATACCTTTTCTCTGCTATAAGGAAGTCTCAACAGCATAATAAAATACAATCAATCATGCAAGCACATACATCTTTCAGACACTCAAAAAAGCAAGAGAAGTAAAACATCATTAGATGCCCGAGTGAGCCCCGAGAGGACAGCTTACCTTGTATTGGAGTCTGTGTCTCCTTCCTTTCAGGTGCATTTCCTTCGCATTAGGGTCGTTAAATTTACAGTCGCAAAGCTTACAGTTAAAGCTCACTGTCTTTCCAATGTCATTCTTGATTTCCTCAATATACTCATGACCTAATGACAACAAAAAACAAAAAAAAAGAAGTCCTTGTACAATAAACAGGTTGACATACAGCCACTTGCAGAACATTTTCAAAAGAATACCGTTTATTCTATTAACTGCAAAGGAATAAAAAACGAGGGCAAAAGAGACTGGGAGCCCTCTGAGCAATTACTAAATATGCATAGAAGCTAAGAGAAATGAGGAAAGACCTCCCACACCATAATCGAAAAAATTAAATCTGACAAAAGTCTACAACTTCTTGAAATAATACTTCAAAGCAGAGACCAGGAAAGATGGCAGGCCTGTTGTGGCAAGCAGTGGGGCACCAACAGATGAACAAGGCCATGGTTGCAGGTGACCTCTCCCAACAGAATCTATTTACAAAGCCGAGTGACCTTAAAATATGCTCTGATAGTGGGAAGCTGGATTGGCAATATAACCAACAGACAATGCATATTAATTAGATTCATTTGTTTTCAAATGGTGAGTACTTTTTACATTGCAGGTACTTAACAAAAAAGAAAAACAAAATTTCAGAACAAGAACTCTGTAAAATAAATGTGAATACAAAAAAAATCCTGAGAAGATCCTGCTTAGCACAATGCCTCCAATATTGCTGTAGTCAAGAAAGTGTATTGGATTACAGACATTTTGTTGCAAACTTCATATTTTTTCACTGAAAAACAAGCCCTAAACACCAGGCGAAACTTACCAACTGGAGTGACATCTTTCTCAGCTGCAGCATTTCCAGTATCATCACCTGTAAAGAAAATGTTACTTCTATGTAACTATTTCTGGGCAGTGGGTATCATTTTCTGATGCAATTTTTCAGTAAAAATGTTTCTAAACAAGATTCAAAAAGACTTTCTACTTCAAGTCGACAATCAATCTTCAAGTTCTTTTAATTTACGACTTCTACTTGAACTCAGCTCAGTAGTTTGAAAACAGTGAAGTATTATAACACCTTAGAGGGAATTTCAAAATTCAAACTATGGTGGCCGAACCTTGATTTGAAAAAGACGCGTTTCCATACAAGTCTTATCTCATATTCAAAAGCACAAGGCAGTCAAAAAATTGCACCCCCCCCCCCAAAAAAAAAAACCCTCTAAAAAAGACCCGAGTTTATCAATCCCTACCTAAAATGGTGCTACACTATCAACTAACCTTCATCATCAGACATGGGCGTGGCAGTGTCTGTTGCTGTCACCGCCACAGAGGTAGTCGTCGCAGCAGCTGCTGTAGCAACGCCCACTTTAACCTCTTCCGCCTTTGCACCGGTGGACTTAAGCTGAGACCCTCCTGCAGATTTCAAGAATGAAAAATGACTCAGTTGAACTTTTTTTTTCCCTTAACAAAAGTCTGATCTTCCATGAAACACAGATTCAGTGATGACAACAAATGCTGAAAAAGGATGGAACTTAGCAGGACCACAGGCAATAAATGTACAAAATAGAAGGTAATTTCAGTGAATACATCAATCTTTTTTTTTAAACTAAAAGTATTAATGTTAGTCCTCTAAGCAGAAAAAGTTAACAATTTTTTATTTCATGACAGCCTTTCACCTGGATGTCCCACTTTCTTCACCAATGGACATACTATTTAAACAGGCAAGAAAACTAGCAGCAATCTTGATCTACCGCACACTAAGTACTATCTTTTCTTTTCTTCACAAGCTGCGTGACAAGGAAGAGTGTTTTAGCTGAAACATAGTAAATGGGTGTCATCAAATTATGAGTTCATCATCAGAACCCCCCCCCCAATAAAAAAAACCAACCTTATAATCTTATAATACGTCTTTTTCTTCAGGGACCTTATATTATATGAGGAGAGGGAAGTCAAGATATAGTGTGAACTCTACATCTGGATGGGACAATGCATGTAACTATAGCACTATATTTCCTTTTCAACAACAGTTTCTCTTTTCCAAAATCTAGTGGCACTAATGCAAAACTTACCAACAAAGTTAATTTTGGGTGTAGCCAAAACCCTTTTGGCTGCTGTTGGTGATGGAACAGCAACTGACTTCCCTGGCGCCGGTTTGGCAACGGTCGGCTTACTCGCAGTAGTAGTCACCACAGGATCCGTAGATGGAATGGGCTTACCAAGCTTAGTGTGCAGCTTAACCACCTGGTGGGGGAAAAAAGTTTATAAAAATGACCAACAACTTCCATCAACTGTTTGAGTTCACTAAGACAGGGTAGAAAAGAAGTCACAATCATAACAAAAAGAATATTTCATCAGAGCACTAACCATACACCCAAAAAGCTGCAGTTAACAACATAAAAAAGACAATTGTGAGCTCATACTTTCTACTCATGTTACTATGTAATGGACTAAATAAAAAAATGATCCTTAAAAAGAAAAATAGACCAAATAAGCAAAAGAAAAAAACATTAGTTAAGACATGAATACCCCACCCACTCCCTCATAGACACAAAATCAAATACCTTCTGATGCTTAGCTCCTCGAATGTGAGCAGCATAAGCATCCTGTCCAGTGCAGGTCACGTCGCACAGCTCACACCTCATTTGATTGTGAGGTTGTCTCCCTGTGGGTTGGGTCGTCTTCAACGCCGCCTCTTTTTTCTTGTGCTTCTGTCCCTCCAAGTGCTCACGGTATGTCTAAATATGATAAACACCATGAAAGCATGTCTTAGAATGTCAAAAGAAAAAGATTTTTGCAAATCACAAGGGCACAAAACATGTCTTGCAAGGTCAAAATGAAGGGATCCTTACAAATCACTAGACCACATTAAGATAAAAATACTCGTTTTGTTTTAGTATAGTAAGAATTTAACAGCACTTGAAACAAAAAATAAGTCATATATAGGTGATGAAGATTGAGGTGCTACTAGAGAGTAACATACAAAGAAATGAAAAAGGAGAGATAAGGATAATAGATGAAACAGAGTACATAATAAGTACTGAAAAGAGAAAACCTGGACCAAATATAGAAATAATACATGACAATAAATAATGATACAACTCAACACAAAGAGAAAAAATCAATACCTGAGGACCAGCACAGCTGATCTTGCAGACATCACAGTAATGAAGCTGTGGAGCTTTGGGAGGTCCTTTTGGCTTTGGCTTGAACTGATTCCCAGTACCAGCTTTCTTGAGCATCCAGGAAGAAGCTCCTGTCTTGCCTTGCTGTTGCTGACTGTAATAACTGGTGGCAGCAGAGTACAATGCTGCATCATAACCTGGAAGCAAAGACAAATAAGTCCATCTATGTAAATGCTCATTGAAACAGAATGCAATTTACAAGGCAGGCACAAAAAAAACATTTGTTTTCAATTTTGCGGGTTAGAATCGTGTTCACACTAATGTCAAACAATGCTTATACAGCTGGACTTTTTAAAAAACTTCATCCAAAACCTGCATAAAGCCTCTGTAGAAAACTGCTGTTCAGCTTTAATATTGCACAAGTTTTAAAAGAAACTCCAGAACAACAACTCTTCCCCCCCAAAAAAAACCCAACCCACTACGGATGTGAAAAAACTTGTACCTTGTGTACAAATCTTAAATGTAACATGGGCAATTTTAAAAAAAACCCCACGACAAACATAAATACAAAGACTCCATGACAGTTGTGAGCACTGTCAAACACATACCGAGACTCCATGATCAAAAACAACAATGACATACTATAATTACTGCTACGAAACAATCATAGGACATACTAAAGGTACATCCTCAAAATGAAATTATTGATTAACATGTCCTCGAGTACTTACTGGAAATGCTTGTTTGAGGGGTTGTCGTTGTGGTGTAGCCCGCAGTGGAGTATGTTGTTACTGTCGGAGTGGTGGAGGAGTAAACATAGCTGGTACCCGTGGATGAGACGGGTATCGCCTGTGCTTTAGGGGCTACGGCCGTGGGACGTTGGGCCCCAGCAAACGTAGCCCCTGTGCTGAATGCAGGCTTCCCTGGAGGTAATGAAATGCCAACTTAAGGTATAATACCCCAAAAAGGTATTAAATTAAGGTGGCAAAACAAAAAAAAAAGCTCAAATTAAAAATGAGGTTTCATAAAAGCAACACAGCAGCAAACATGACAAAAGTATCTCACTATGTTTCACAACAGCAGGGGTTATCATAACTCAGCATTTCACACCAACAGAACAGGGCTGGCGAAAACCAAAATGTTTCATAAATCTGACTAAAAAACTATAAGGCGAACAAACTAATGTAACGCCATGAAGTCTCAACAACGAAAATGACTAGACCAAATGGAATCCTAAAATGCCAAGTGCTCTTTATTTCAAGAATAAGCAGGAAATTCCACATTGCCACGTTGCAACATATCTCATCTGACAAAATTTGCCTACAAAACTTTATTTTATTACAGTTTTCGGAGGGATCCACTTTAAATTTAACACACTGTTTCTGCTCCTGAGAAATACTCATATCCATTAATAAATTTTGTTCCTTGGTTTTTTACCAAAATGAGATGCTATGACAATGACTTTATAAAGCAGTATAAATTTTTTAATAAATCTAGTTAGTAAAAACAGTACGCCAGTGGTTTTAGCCAGCCCTGCTCCAAAACAACTTCAGAGCATATGATGAAGAACAATGCATTGCTGTGTAAGACAGGTATAATAAAAGTAAAAAGAAAATTATACAGCAGTTTTTTACAGGCGACAGTCAGTGTGGTAATATCAAACATTAAGCACTGCAACTTTTCGATTCCACTATTTTCTCTCTCTAAAAGAACACTACAGAACAATGATAATAATGCAATACCAACTACTGCAAAAGCAATTGTAGCAAAACAAGAAATCAGTAACCAGGTAACAAAATGCTACTACTAACAGCTTTATTTGTGCACCAAAATGAAGAACACAGATGAAAACAAGTATCTACACAATTACTGTTAAAACTCAGTGAACCACATACCATTTAGTTTGAATTTTCTTATTCCGTCCTTTTTCATAATGAAACCAAAGTGAAAATGAACAACAAGCATAAAGGACTCTTGTTGCTATTTTTGTGCCACCCTATGATAATTTAAACTATTCAACATGCTTTTCACCTGGCAATTAGAGCAAAAACTTCAATCAAACAGCTTCAAAGACTGAACATTAATACACTTTTGGGGTGCATGCATCTCTTTATCACTAGATCTAACACAACAGCAAAAAGATTTTTAAAGGACGAGCAAAGGAAAATTAGTTTCTTGTGAGGCTTACCCATACACTTTACAGAAAAACTGCACAGAGAATCAAGCACCAAACAGCTACAAAATCTTTTCTACTGCTTCTTTCAAAACCATCACTTTCATTAAATACACAAAATGTCCTAACGGACTTCCCATCTGCTAAATAGATTCTGCTTTCCTTCCTGTCATCTTGAAAAGCATGGCAAGAACTAAACTATTTAACCCCTCCATGCCGGGTCTTCACAAGTGTCACTTTTCGCATTCCCTATATTTCACAGCTTACCCAAAATTCCGAGAAAAAAAAACCCACTTGTAAATCTTAAGTTAAAAAGTGAAATTTTCCGCCTTTTAAAAGTAATTATAGTGTTCATGTTTTTCAAGAGCATGTGCTTGTCCTCTCTCCTCAAGACTAGACTTAAGTTTATCGATAGCATGCAAGCCCAGCAGTAAACCAACACCAGCAAATTTGGTATTGATACTGGAATTTTAAATTCCTGAATGTACTCGTGGTTAAAGATAAGTGTGATGTACATCTAGCATCTTAAAAGCAACCACCAACAAATTTTGCAAACTTCCGTGTCCATGATACTGCACAAAGCTAAAAATTATTCATTTTCGTGACGTACCAGGTACGACATTTAAGGCAACGAAGGGGTTTAAAAGCTCATCAAAACTACAAAGACTTTAAGTAAGCTTGGTAGCTGATTTAGCTTAGTAGTTGGAGCACATGTCATAAAGAGAGCACACCTGCTTGAAACTGTGGGTCTGTGGCGGCTGTGTATGTTGTCGCCGCAGCAGGCTGATAATAAGCCTTGGACTGGTCGTAGGTCACAGTAGGCTGCAGGGAAAAGGCACTCTAAAACATAAGAAGTCAGCTGAAATGTCTTTTGAAAGGAAATTTCGGACATGTCAAATTCAAAATTTGCAAACATGATCTGTATTTTAGTTACAATAATTACTAGTAAATGTTCACCTTTGACCAGTTAGACAGAGTAACAGTTCCATTAAATTGGAACTGAAACTTCCACAAAAAATTATAACAGTAAGAAAAAAATATATCTACTAGCAATTAAGAAAGTATTTTAAACTAACTTTACATTTACATTTATAGAGAAATCAAGCTGTATTAGGTAAACTAGTACTATCTTTTAAGAACGCAATGAGAACATTACAAGCACCCAGAGCAGTTATTTGGTAAACTTTTAAAAACGAAGTGTATACAGACCCGGTAACCAGGAACAAAGTCACGAAGTATACAGACTCGGTAGGGGAACTCTTGTGATGTCGGAAAGTTTCAGCGCCCAAACCCAGTAGTGTGTGTGTGTGTGTGTGTGTGTGTGTGTGAGAGAGAGAGAGAGAGAGAGGGGGGGTGGCTGCTCCATTGAAATTATAACTTTGTTCTTTTCTTCAAATTGTGATTCCTCCAACTCAAAAATCGGAGGAAAACCAATCGTTCACCGAAAAGACATCCGCAATCTTCATTTAGATCAAGATCTAGGCTAACCTCGCAACTAGATCAATGATTTATGTCTGTCTGTCTAGATCTAGACCATAGAGCTAGAAGAACCTAGGTCTAGGCCTACCCCTAGGAGCTTTTACTGTAAAGTCCTTGGGCTACCCTAAGTCCCTGAGCCAAGAGGGCGCTGAAACTTTCCGAAATCACAAAAGAGTTCCCCTACTGGGTCTGTATACTTTGTGACTTTATTCCCGTTTACCGGGTCTGTATACACTCCCTTTTAAAAAATCAGTATTGGCTGCTTTTTATAAAGTTTAATTTCTATTTTCATTCTTATGAAAATAAGAACCCACTTAATAAAATTTTGAACTAGAACAGATTGTCATTTTTTTAAAATAATTTTTTTTAAAGAGAAATAAGAAACACTGACCGTCACAGCAACCTGTGCTCTTGAATACGCATACTGGGTGGGTGGGTGGACAGCAGATGCAGCAGCTGCAGCAGAATAGCCCTCGTACGTCTGCCCGGCTCTCAATGGAGCTGCCGTCGCTGCATATGCAGCTGCCTGGGGTGGTGCAGCTACATATGCACTCTGTGCCGAAGGATAGGCTTGTGCCGGAGGGGCAGACTGAGCCATGGGAGCGGCCGTTGGGTACACAAAGTGCGCCATGTCCAGTTCTGGAGAAAGTGGGTTTCAGTACACTATTACCATTATGCTATGATGACCACTCTACAGCAAAACCAAATCTACATCCCATCTATCAAATACAGTAAACATTTTCTACTACTTGGTCTATAATCTTGTCAAGCAGGAAAAGGATGAATACAGAAAACGGGAGTGTCTACGTACACGGTAACCGGGCCCGTAGCCTCAGGGTCTACGTACACGGTAACCGGAAGGTCCAAGAGATAGTTCACTCAGCCACGGTTACCGGGCAACATGCGGCTTGCTGCAGCCCGTCAGCCAGAAGCTGATTGGCTGTGGTAGGCTAGTGGTGAATATTGTGTTGGGCCTATGATTCCAGTTTTAGCAGTTCGCAAACTTCTGAAACAGTGCTGTAAATATATGAAGCTTAATCTACCTATTCCAGGAAGGAGTTGTGGTGGCCGAATGGACAGCGTGACTGCGTTCGGAGAGAAAGGGCGTGGGATCGAATCCGAGGAAGAACTTTTTTTTTCTGTCCCCCTCTTTTCTTCTCCTCCTCCCGACTGACCAACAATTTTCCCCCAAAATTATAATTCGTTGTTTTGTAGTTTTTTATGTAGTGATAAGCACGCACATTCTGGTTTTGCCCTCAAGAAAAAGCTCTTTTCGATCATATCTTCATCTAGCAATTTTATAGGCTAAGTGTTCCGATGCAGCCTATGCCTCGAACGTCTGCAAATACATGTAATTCATCAGATTGATAAGTGATAGTAATCTGAAAATGCATTGAAACTCTCTCTCTCTCTGTCTCAATTTGTCTCTCTCTCTCTCTCTCTCACACACACACACAAACACACACATACAAACACACACACACATACGCACACACACACCCACACATACACTATCTCTCTCTCTCTCTCCTCCCTCTCGCGTGTTTTCTGAGTCTCGTTCTCTCGTGATAGTATTACATGTATGGTGAACATCTATATTTTAGCTTTCTGATCCAGATTCGCAGATTTTCAGTGTCACTGAATTTTGCCCTCCCTAAGGAAAGATGACGTGGGCGGTTGGCGGGTGGGTGCTCTGGTGTGGTTTGCTCCTTCTTTCCTATCAAACATCTATCGTCCTTATCTCACCTTCTTCTTTTTATGTTTGTTACTCTCTTATAACACCTCTAATTCTCTGGAGCTCATATGACCTTATGCAGTTGTGAGTGCCGTAAAACCTCTGCTAAAACTAAACTAAACTAGGAAAGATGACGGGGAGTAGATTGGGATAATTTTCGTGGTTTTGGGACATAAAAAGCGGAGTGAAACAGGAAAAGGGTCAAGGTCACGAAGGGAGCGAAGCAGTTACCGTGCACCTAGCTCAAGCGCCTGCCCACAAAACAAAATACCCAGTTACCGTGTTGGTAGATATTGAGGCTACGCGCCCGGTTGACGGTTACCGTGTACGTAGATATTGAGGCTACGTACCCGGTTACCGTGTGTGTGACATTGAAACTACACACCCGGTTACCGTGTGTGTGATATTGGGACTACACGGTGAAAAAGGAAAAAGGTCAACGTCATGAAGAGAGCAAAGCAGTTATCGTGCACCTAGCTCAAGCCCCCCCCCTCCCCAACGAAATTAAATACCCGGTTACCGTGCGTGTGACATTGAGACTACACACACGGTTACCGTGTACGTAGACACTGAGGCTAGCTTACGTGCCCGGTCGCCATTTTGTTTTGCCCGGAAGTTCTCGCAAGATCTATTCCTCCCCTCTTCTCTCTGTCTCTTTTTGAATACTGTCTATCGGTGTGGACGATCAAATTGACCAAAGCAAAGTTAAAAATGATGTTAAAACACAAAAGTAAATTAATTTGGTCGTCTACAAAGATGCTACGGCTATTTAACTTTTCGAATCGAGCCGAACTACACGGGTCGCCATTTTGTTTTGCCTGGAAGTTCTCGCGCTACTCCTCTCTCTCTCCACTGCCCACAGACAAAATTGTATGCTTTTAGTAGGCTACAGTTGTAATGGAACGTTTGTTCATGGCACAGAATTCTCCAATTTTTCTGTTATAGTAGAATTCTGTGGTTTAGGGTGAACGCAAAATTTGTTGGCCTAGATCTAGGTATAACGGTGAACGCGCACCGGGTGAGAATAGCCAAAAGACTCGCCTGCACTATTCTCACTCCGGGTGAGAATAGAGTATATATAGAGGTGGCCATTTAACTTTTCGAATCGAGCCGAACTACGCGGGTCGCCATTTTGTTTTGACCGGAAGTCCTCGCGCTACTCCTCTCTCTTTCTTTCTCCACTGCCCACAGACAAAATTGTACGCTTTTAGTAGGCTACAGTTGTAATGGAATGTTTGTTCACGGCACAGAATTCTACAATTTTTCTGTTATCACAGTGTAGAATTCTGTGGTTTAGGGTGAACACAAAATTTGTTGGCCTAGATCTAGATCTAGGTATAACGGTGAACGCACACCGGGTGAGAATAGCCAAAAGACTCGCCTGCACTATTCTCACCCCGGGTGAGAATAGAGGTGGCCATAATATAATTATAAACTGCATTTATCTCTTCTGAGAGGAGGCCTACTCTAGTTCTAGATCTAGATTAGATCTAGTACTCTTCACATCTTTTAGCACTAGATCTAGATCTAGATGATCTAGATCTAGATAGATATCTAGATCTACGTCATTTTGATTTCTTTTCCTCCCATGAAAATCTCAAGTCCCAAAAGCCAAAAGAGGTAGAATCTAGATCTACCACATTTCTGTTGCCTCAAAGTGTATTTTCATTGTTTTTGTTGGTAGGCCAAATTGTCTAGATTTAGAATCTAGATCTACATACTATCATAACATACAACTCAATAGAATAAGAAGGGTAGTTGACCCCACATGATGATAGCTTAGCCTTTTAAAACTCATTTTGGTAAGTTGCAATTCTTTCATTGTATGTCAGTGGTACATTTGGCATCAGAAATCTAGAATCTAATCTAGATCTAGATTCTAGATCTAGATCTAGATATTTATATCTAGATCTAGACATCTAGATCTAAAGAACGAGGGAAAAGAAATACAGTACACTGCCAGTTCCTTCCCTCCCATGCAGCGGTCCGGGATACCATGGGAAGTAACTTTATGACAAATAGGCCCTTAATAACAACGGAATTCTGTGTTGACCTCGACTCCTATGATTATTCATTGGATCTACCGCCTCGGCTCTCGGAACCCAGACATAAGCAATTATACAAGAGATTCTAGGTTTCAATCACAAAGCCAGTTCTTGTAACAAATACCACTAAGAAATGCAATATTAGAGGATAAGCTAGATTTACTGTTTTTTCCTCCTTCTCAACCTCGAGCGACCAGGATCAGCAAAGAGACCTGGCTAAGAGTGAAGTAATGAGTCCGAAGAAGAGGACAAAGCACAATAAAAGTGCCCGTCTAAAATTATTAAACTTTAAACGCCACTACATAAAAAAGAACAGGGTGCGACATTTACTCAGCTATGTTGAATTACCTGCAAGGAGTGCTCCTAGTAAGTGGGGTTATTATCACCGGTGCAGAACAATACACAGAACGTTGAATAATCTACCACTAAGTCTGAAATATCAATCAACAAGACCACAAGGTTTTGAAGAAAGGAAATAGAAAATGCCGGTTCACTATCCAGGTTTACATTTCCATCCAAGCGATATTACGGCGCGCCTGCATCAAATGAACACATGCGAATATTCACAAAAGAAATATATCTGATCAGGGTTGATTTGGAAACTCCATTTTTTAAAAAGGGTCATGTATTACACAGTTTTGAGAAAATTAGAAGTTTGAACCTACACTTTACTGTGTATTTGATTGGCGGCTTTTTAACAAAAACGGCTAAATCTCATATGCGGCCTTGACCCCTTGGCCAATACAATGCGAAAGGGAAGACATGTGGCTTTGGGATTATTAATAAATACTCCAAGTCAGTAATTGAGATAACAACTTACCTACTTTAATTTTCAATTATAACGTATGTTTTTAGATGCTTGTGATAGACTTACTTTGCTTTGCCGCGATCGCGCCAAATGTATACGAAACTAATACTCAAAGTAATCAATCAGTTTTAACACTCAATCTGGAAATAAGAAAGGTCTTCCGCTTTGAGTACCGTGTGCAAACACGCAGTTTTATTATTATTATTTTTTAATTTTCATTTATTTATTATTAAATTCCGATTTGTTTATGTTATGCATAGGCTACAATGTACATGTTCAAGTTCCAGTGTTGTTGCTGTTTTTTGTGGGGGATTTTTTGTTTTGTTTTGGGTTGCGTTATTATTTTTTTTTGGCCGCTGTCGCTCTTGTTTTGTGCATCGCAACTTCCCTTTACACGACTAAAAAACCTAAAATTTAACAAAAGTTCCATCAGATCTTAAGTAGGCCTAATAAATAGTGAATGAATAATATTTGGATTGTTTTATCACTCATCCCTGCCTTTCTAAGTTTCTTATACCCCTGTCCTTTTTATTTCCTCTGCGTTTTCAACACGTCACACACATGCATTCAACAGACCCCCCCCC